ATATTTATATATTCACAATATCTCCCAGCCTTGTTCAGTTGTAAACACGTTCTATTCTATGCGCCTTATAAACAGTTCTAAAATAGGCCATTCATTGAAGGTGCGCCTTATAATCCGGTGCGCCTTATAGTGCGGAAAATACGGTAACAGTTGTGATTTTTTTGTGCACTTAGCTGTAGCCATTAGATTTTAAAACTTTGGTAAACCCCTGACTTTCTTCTATTTGTACTATTGTCCATATTTAATTTGTCCAATATTTTTTGTTTTATCACCAAATACCACAAAACTAACTTACTTCCTACTAGCTTTAATTTCTCCTTAGGTTGAATAATTGGATTTTAGCTAACACACTTTACTAACATATAACTTGTGAATATTATTCCTGCAAACATTTAAGATCAGCTCTTAAGTGTTGCCATCAAAAGCATATTAGCATGTTGGTTTTAGCATTTGAGTCAAACAATAACCAGCGTGGCTGAGTTTTATTTCAAGCATATATAAAGTCTACATGTTGATTGTTACAAAAAACAGTGCAAAGTTAGTTTTGTCAAATTGGTACAATCCATCATAGTATTTGTAACACTGTGCAACACACTGTTTTTACAAATGCATCAAAGCATTTCTATCACTATCAGACTGTGAGAATAAAAAAATGAAATCTTTTCCCTTAACTTTTGAGCATGCATCGTATTGTTGTTAAAACTTTCTTCATACTGCAGATATAAAGTTGAGAATGACCCCAACCTGGGGCCATTACGTTAACTTGTGCACATGTACTGCCACCTGCTGGTTGCTCTTATCATCTGAAAACCACCAGATAGATCTTTGTCTTTGGTATCAGTTTGGCTTGAAAATCTTCATTAAAATTAAATCACCCATTTTATATCACCTCTCTGGCCCCCCCTATCAGTGAGACAAAACACACTAATCTTTTCAACAACTTCAACCAAAGCCTCCAGCTTTTGTCTTTACACCTAAGCTGGAAAAGAACTGCAGGAAAAACTCAAGACAATGAAATAAATTAAACTATCACTGCAAGAAATATAAAAAAAATTCTAAAACGGTTGGACAGATTTAAGATTTTCATAACTGTAATAAAAAAGTGTCACCGATAGCTCCGATTGGACCTTAAGTTGAGTGTAAGATGAGAAATGCTCAGAAACATGTTTTCTTGCTTTTATTAAAGATTTAGACACAAAATCTCACAGTAGTTCAGAAGTTTGTAATTTTTTTAAATGATGTAAAAGTGACTGTAATTATGTGTGTTTCGCTCAAATTGTCAAATATCACAGAATGTCAGAAAGTTATTGTAAAGGCGACACAAGTTTGACACCGTATCTTATGTTCATGTTGACTTTATTTATGTCCTGAAACTTTTTATTTTTCCAGAATCAGAATCAGAATGTAAAATAACAGATATGAGTACATGACCATAAGTTTCAATTACACTACAATATCTCAAATTTAATTTTAGCAGAAGTAAATTAAGTCGAAGGAATTCAAATTGCACTTACAAAGCCGACTAAAAAAAGTCACAGCATTCAGAGATTAAGTACAAAGCATATTGAAAATGCATTCCTTTATTCATGAATAAACATTGAGTTCAAAACAAGGTGGTTTGATTTCTACACATTCTGCTGTTTTTGCATAGTTACAAACCAAACAACACTCACACACGTTCACAAACGTTAAGACACGCAGAATTAAGGCGTTCAAGGACGATGTGCATTCTGATACAGACACTAGTGTTGTTGTCAAGACCACACAACTGAGACTAAGACAGACCAGAGTGCTCCGAGACCGAGACAAGATCAAGACATTTATGGATCAGGACCTAGTCAAGACCAAGACCAGGGCAGGGTGAGACCGAGACAAGCCCATAAATATCACTGAAAAATACTGGTGGTCCTGATTTAAAATCCAGAGTCCACCAAGTCCGAGAAAAAATGCTTTCGATTCCAAGACCTTCAAAAAGTGGTCTCGAGACTGATTTCAGGTACTACAACACAAACAAACAACTGACCTCTTTCCTGACTTTGTGAAAGTATTAAGAAGTTTTCAAATAAATAGTAGATTTTTTTAAACCGTCATTATTTTATACATCGTACAGCATATAGGATTAGAGGTAAAGTGGGTTTAAGCTGCTGAGCTACGTTACAAAACAAACATGTGGTAATAAATTAGGCTCAATTACAGTCGTTATTCAGAAGTTACACACATGCTAAAAATAGTCCGTTTTCAAGTTTTTTCAAAAATGTCACAGACTCAAAAAGAAAGTTGTAAGTAAAGTCATGAAAACTGTGACTTCAGTCGGGAAGTTCAGGCACATCCTTGTTTACTCAACTACCAAATGTCACAGTCAAATCACGTTAATGTTCCAGGCATCTCATTTATACATTCGACTCTTTTCCCATTAAACAACGAAGTCTAATAATGCCTCAGAGATCTACAAGGTCTTTTAACTTCAAGGATAGTTCTGTTGATTTTTCAGTCAGAAAATAACCAAAACAAACTCAGTGCTGGACATAAATGATCTTCACTTTTTAATCTCAGGGGCATGTGCCTCAGCTGTAATATAAGTAACAGTTTAAATTTAAGTCTGAATTTTGCTTCAAATGTGTTTTAAAACAAGCAAAAAATTGTCCTGACGTGTGACCGACTGTAGCTGCAGTTTAACAAAATGTTTCATCACATTCCTCTAATTCATGGTTATTATAATGTAACAAATGTTGTGGTTTCAATCCCCTCCCCTGCTCTCCCCTCTCACTGCACGGCACACGAGCCGCTGGGCAGAAAGTCCTGAACGTACACCGCAACCGCCTTGGTGAGGTACGTCATGCTCCCGAAGCGTCCACTGGGGGCGCTGTCGTACAGAAGCCTGCACACTCCAGTGGACGGATCCCTCTCCAGGATGTGCTCCTCTGCTCCAAGGTCCGTCTGGAGGAAAATAAAAATTAGGTTACTTGTAATAGCTTTACTTGAACACAGAAAGATTAGATATCTGGAGTTGGCCATTTTTCACTTTTATTGGACAGGACAGCTGAAGAGAGGCAGCAAATGTTGGGAGGAGAGAGTGGGACGACATGCAGCAAAGGCCCGAGGTAGGACTGAAGCCCACACCCCCTGCGACAAGGATTACAGCCTCCATACATGTGACGGGCTACATGACCCTATCTGGCACCCCAAATTCCCGCCTCTTTACGTCACCTGGTCTTTGCAGAACATGTCGTTGGCGATGTGGACGATCTTCTCCACGTGGATGATGGAGCCGATGCTCGGGATCTCCACGTCGGCCAGCATGGTGAGCACCAGGATGGCCTCCACCAGCAGCTGCCGGTACTCCGGCTGAGGGACGCGGTTCAGAACCGTCTCCACGTGGACCGAGAATTTGATCTCACCTGGCGTCATCTGGAGGAAAAGACGGTGAGATGGGAGGACTTAATATGTGTCTGATCAAACATCTGACAGTTTTATATTTATCCTTACACATTCAGCTTCTCTAATTATTTATCACGAGAGGAGAAGTTTGAAGAATGAACCTTCACAGATTTGTTAAGGATTTCAAATGGTCTATCAGGTAAGTGAAACATACCCCTCCCCCCCTTTCTCCTTGTGGACGATAATCAAGTTGACCTCTTACCTCTCTTGTGGTTGAAGATGGAAGGACGAACCCTTCTATGGACAGACCGTGGCACTAGAACACAAGAGATTTTTATATTGTCACAACAGCTGCACATTAAATTGTAATAGCAACATGAGCATTTGCAAAAAAAACAACAAAGCAAAAGTCTGAATTTATTGCAAAAATAAGAACGCACAAGAGATCCTTTCTCATGCTTTCATCATGCATACTTTTGAAAGCCTACGTATACTGTAAATGTCTTCACATTAACTGGTGTTAATTGTGTTTTCAAAGAAAACTATTTTTGGATTCAGGCGGGACACGTTGCAAAGACAGTCGTCGTTTAAAACAAAAAAATTGCTGATAGACAGAATGTGTTTCCTTACCTTCTGCAGGATCTTCCACACTTTCTGGTAGAAGCCCACGGGGACCCGGTTCAACGCTCCGTCCAGACGCCTCCTGCGCAGCCATTGGCCGTGCCGGGTATCCTTGGCGGCCGGGATGCATTCCGGAATGTCCAAAGATTCTATGGAGGGCAGTCTGTACCTCTGAACGACCACAAGAAGAAAAAGACAAACAAATACAGATAGAGCTTTGTTTCCCTCATGAGGGGGAAAACTATTTAGAAGATTAACCGAAGAAGAAGAAAAATCTTTACCCCGGACTCAACGTTGTCTATGTCCAGAGAGTAGGAGCGCGAGCCCTGAGAGGCAGAAAGAGAAAACAGGAACACACACGAAATGAAAAACAACAAATTTGTGCAGATGAGGAAACTACTGTGAGAGATAGATTCATAAACATAAACAAAACAACAGAAGCAGGGGATTATCGCTTCTTCACAGCAAGCAGAAACGAGTTATCAGGAGGGGGGAAATATACAAATCAACTTAGAAGACAAAAGAAAAGTTCATCATAAAGTCAATTAAACAAAGAGCATAAGTCTAATGCTTTATGAAGGAGGGAAAAGATATTGCACATTTTGGTTTATGTGACTCTCTGGAAATATATTCTGAGATAATGACGGAGACAGACTAAATTAAATTAAATGGAAATTGCGAGTAAATAATTAAACAACCACAAACACATTACGACATTAGCTGGTTTTAGCCGCATTATAGCAGCATTTTACAACTTAATGCTTAAATCTTAAAAATATTTTCTGGCATTTTCTGACTAAATAAACAAAAAACAAACAGGTATTTTGATTATAAAAAACTTCATTAATTGCAGCTCTGCCATCATTAATAATAATTATCAGCTGCAGATGTTAAACGTTTGAACATTAGCAGCAACAAGCTAACAGCGTGAGCGCACTGTTAAAAGCTCAAAGAGTTGATGTTCTTGTTAATTATTTAAGATGAATTAACACCCAGAACACCAGGGTTTTTTTTTTTTAACGCCGTTACTGTTGTCACCTTGCAAGAGAAGCTCAGTGATTGGTCGAGCTGAAAAAGAGACAAAAAAAAAATCTACTGTGCATTTGAGTCTTTCCACAAACCACTTCACACATGATGGTCAAAATAAAATCCTCATCCAGAGATGATTTCAGAAATGTGCCAGCATGGAAACTCCTTCTACAGATCATATAATGCAGAAAATGATGTATGGGCCGTCTTAGAAATTGTGCTTTGTGTAATCTGTCCAGCAGAGGGCACTCTGTGTTCATAACAAATAATCCTCTCAGCAATGTCTGCAGTAGGATATGTAGCCAATGCGTACAGATTTAGTTTTCGTTAAAGGCAGAATGTCTTTTCAATCTCTGAGTCATGACTGTCTACGATAAATGAGTCATCACTGTGACCACTTCTGTCAGAAATCATCTTAATCCATCTGCAATTTTTTTTTATTTTACCAAATTTTACCTCAACCATGTGGTCTAAATTCTTCCCAATTTCTCACAGATTACCCATCATCATCATCATCATTATCACCTTCACTGAGTCAGTCAAAGACACTCTGCGGTCAACCTGCAACAGGAAACACAATGAATTACAATGTTTAAACACTAAATAGAACCCAAGTCGTTCTCCGATGACACATTACAAACAATGACTCCACAGTAACTCCTCTAAACATCATCAACATCATCATCATCATCATCATCATCACCTCTGCAGGATCTGTCAAAGACAACCTGGGCTCCTGGATCAAAACAAAGAAAGAACAAAAAACATAAAGTTGAGTTTAGAAACATGAAACCATCGCTAACTTTCTGTCCTCTTGTCTGCTAAATCAACAGATTGAGGCATAAATTGGTAAGGATTGGGACCATGTGACTACTTGCAGATCATATTTTAAACCCAAACCTGATACGAGCAAAAGAGAGAGCCGCTGTGGTCCATTCAAATTCACAAGTCAGCAAACACTGACGTTTCTCAAGTCCTATCAGTGCTTCATAAAGATAAAGATACATTTACTTTAACAAACAGACAGAAAGCAGAGGAGGTGACGGTCTCTAAATTTGCATAAATATACATTACCCAAAGTATTTGTGTGAGCACGATAGTGTGACTTTTCTTGCAATTTTTGGTGATTAAAAACAAGAAAATTCCAGGGGCGCTGATGGCCTAGCGGTTAGGTCGCGCCCCATGTAAGGAGGCTATGGTCATCCAAGCGGGCAGCCCGGGGTTGAGTACGAACTCTGGCTACTGTACTTCGCTGCTTGGCATTAAGTTGTCTCAAATCCAATTTATCCAATGAGGACATTTTCTGTAAATATGGGCACATCATCCTCATCCATAGCAGATATTAACTGTGGAGTGCCCCAAGGCTCAATTCTTGGACCCCTCCTCTTCTCCCTATACAGTTATAAAATCTGCAATTCTGTTTGTTATGTTTTTTATCCCTGTTGTAATTTTTAAAAGTTTAATGGAGAGTTTTAAAAAGGTGCTCTACAAATGAAGTTATTATTATTTTCTGATGATCAGGCAGACCTACAGCGTATTCTGGATATCTACTTTGTTAATTATTATCTGCAGTTTATAGTTAAAGGAGAACGAAGAAATAGAGATGGTTCATATTCCTTCATGGGTTCGTCACCTTAAATGGATCGAACAGGGACAACCTGCGCTCCCCCTGCAACACAAACACCTTCAAGTTATAAATAAATCACAGTCAACAATCTGATGTAGTGATTCATTTAAAACTCATCTTCTCCAATTATCAACAAATTATCTTCACACGTCCTTAAAAATGATTTCCACGATTCTCCTCTGATGCAACTCGCACTTCTAAATTTCTCCACAATTATCGAGGTGAATTAGCACCAACAGCTGCTCTTATAATCATCGTCACCTTACCGACAAAGACAACCTGTGTTCCAGCTGCAACAAGACAAAGTCAGTTTGCCAGTTAGCACAATAGTACAACTCTTCATCATCTTCATCACTTTGACCTCCAGCGAGTCGTTTAAAATGCAGTTCATCAAATTAACACTCGTACTGTGTGACATATGTTCTTTAATTACTTTTTATTGTTTAGTGTACCTTATTTTATTTCATTTCTCTGTTCATGTCTCCCATTTGTTTAGATTAAAGAATACTCCTTTTTGTTTTACGTTTTTCACATGCTATTTTGTCCCTTCAGGCACACTGTAGGAAAGCCTCCTCAGTGCCTCCCTGTAGTCGCATTGATTGAAAATAACGACACCGCTGAGCCTTTAAATGTCCAATTTTCTTTTTTAAAACAAACTCTCAGACAGCTCAGCTGACGATTCCAAAGTAATATCCACTTTACGACATCAAAAACTGACCTTTGTTACCTTCTTCTTCAGTTGTTTTCATTTACTTTTTGATCTGTAATGACTTATTTTTCCCTCGTTAAGTTAAAGTTTTGACATGCGATCTACCGAAAGTTCCTTATTTTATTTCAAAATAAAAGCATGTTTGTATTAAATCAGGGAGTAAAGTACCTTCAGCTCTAGACAGTACAAAAAATCTAAATAAAATACTTCTTTAAATGCAAAATGTTTTTTTTTGTCCTACCATCTTCATGTCGCTCTTCAGTTTGCTGATGCCGGCTCTCTCGCTCTTCGTGGCGCCCGTGTTCCCGAGCTGATGGATGGAGATGGCAGGACTGACGCCGGCTTCCATCTCTCTGACTGTGGAGATATATATATATATATATGTATATGTATATATAGACAACCTAACAGCAGGAAAAGTATGATACCAAATAAAATGTGATTGGCTGTTTGTGTGACACGAGCTCTTATTGGACGGACCGCTGCGCTGCACTCCGAACTCTTTGCCGCTGAGGATGTGATGGAGGAGATTCTTCAGTTCTGACGGACTCAGACCCATCAGGCTCTCTGTGGCCTCCTCTCCTGCACAAACACACACACAGAAACACACATACACACATTTAAACTTTAAAGAAGAATGAAAGACAAGACAAGGAAATCAAAGTATGAGCTTTTCATTAACAGATTAACACGCCCCCTCTCCCGCATTTCCTCCCTCACCTGAGCAGTTGAGCGACTGTGCGAGCTCCGTGGCCATCACCTGGATGATCAGACCGATCCGCAGTCTGAACATCTCGCTGAAGAGGTTCGGCTGAGTCCTGATGCTCATGGCGAGGTACACCATGATCTCCTGAAGAGACGAGGAGAGACGTTAAAAAAACAAACAAACAGAGAGACATGAGGATGAAGATGTTTTAAATAAAGAAAGAGGAGGATGTGAGCGACCTGAGTGAGGATGGCAACGCTGATGTTGTTGTCGCTGGCCTCTTCGATGAGGTTGGCCAGCAGGTCCGGGGGGATCGGGGCTGTGATGGTTTTCTCTCGGGGCTCGGGAGGTAAACCGACCGTCAAGTGTTTCTGATGAGCCAGAAGATCAGAGCAGGCCTGCAGACGCAGCACAAACATAAAAAACTATCACTAACAGTTCTGCTTACATTTTTTACACACGCTGCGTCTTTGTGTGTGTGCACGTGTGTGTGTGTGTGTGTGTCGTACCGAGTCCAGCTCCTCCACCTTCTTCCTCAGCATGCCGGAGATCATCCTGATGAGGCTCCAGTGTTTCAGTTCCCCGGCCTTCTCGTAAAGGTCAGAGAGCAGAGATCGGACAGTGGAGCCTTTACCGTGCAGATGAGTATCCCACTCCATGCCTCTGTGGAAATAAAAGCAGGATTGTGTTTAAACAGGAAGTACCCCTCAGTCTTAAGACAGTACAACATTTCAAAATAAAATCCTATAAAAAAAAACTGCACAAAAATGTGATTCTCACTTGTCTTTGAAGAGGATGTAGAGGATGTCGGCCTGGTCCTGGAGATTCTGAGTGTCTTTGAGCATCTGGGCCAAAGCGTGGTGGTCGATGGCTCCGCTGGCGTCTCGGGGGATCTCGCTCAATGCTGCGAGCAGCACCTGAGGACCCTGGAGGTTCAGATAGAGAGAGAGGAGGGGGATTCATCAAGAGGTCTATAAAAGGGACTGGAGGGGAAGAAACCGGACAGTTAAAAAAACCAAAAAAAACCCACTTGAGACTCCTGCCCTGGCACCGGGTCGGGGAGGTTCAGGTTGAGGGAGGGTTGTCGTGTGCGGAACAGCTTGTTTGGCAGGTACATGTTCACATCTGTGAGGGGGAAAAAAACACAAACATGAGTCTGGTGTAGGACGAAGCTGTTTCAGGGTTTCATCTTGTTATGTTTGGAGTAAAAACCGTTAAAAATGGCTTCACCGTGAACGTCGAGGCCCTGAGCTTTGTTCATCAGAGACACCATCGCCTTCGTCTTGGCGGCCGCCGCCTTGAACCTCCCCAGACCTTTCACTTCCTGTTTGGGCTTCTTGGGGGCGGCGTGAGCCAACAGGTGGTCCAGGTACTGAGCGAGGTCGTCGGCCTCTGGAGAGGAGAGACGAGAGCAGAGACGGAGGACGGAGAAATAATAGAGGATGAGGAAAAAACCAAAACAACGTTCCTCATTGAAAATCAAAATGCCTACAAGACACCTTATGTGAGGATGACCTGCAGACAGAAATACCTTCAATGACAAAGAGAGCAGCTGTCACACAGGCAGACATTTAAAAATAATGCATGCTTATTTCAAACAACCACAGACAGACGAGCGCTGAATGCAGGCAACAACAACTGTTCAAACATATATTTTACATGAATTTTTTTTTGACTGTCCAATTCCTGTAAAAGTTCAGTTTTCATGTTTAAAAAAATATGTTTTCATGCAGCATCGATACAGGAAGGATGGGGGGTGGGGAAGATCAGTGATGATGTCACAGCAGGATGAAGCAGGAAGTAGTGATTCACCTGCACCAGGATTCAGAGTGAGGATAGTACAACACGTGTCCGGGTGTTTTTTCTTTTGTTTTTTTTTAATCAATGCTTCATAAAAAAATCAGAAATCACCATTCCTCCCCATCCATCCATCAGTCTGTATTTTTTTTTTGTCTTACCATCATCACAACGTAACTCATGCACGTATCCATCGGCGACAGCCTCATCACCATCATCATCATCATCATACTCTTCGTCGCGGCGGCTCATGCTGCCGGAAGCCTTACCATCCAGGAAGCTCAGGTGAGCGAAACAGGAAGTGGTCATGAACTCCGACAGCTTCCCCGTCTGGATCCTTGAAAAAAAAAAAAAACGACAAAAAGGTAAATCATCACAAACCGGAACCAATCAACTCTAAATTCTCGTTGAAGCATTCCTTCAGAATCACAACAAAAACCTTCAATCCAGCGTCAGGAATATGAAGACAAAGAATTCATTCATTGGAGGTAAAGCTTTGTTTATCTAATCTGCCCGATCAGTTTGCCCCCAACTTGTTGTAGCATCATTTGACTTGTGTAGTGATTAATAACTGTAATTTACCAACACCATCTGGGTTTTTCTGAGCCGGGTCGACCACCTTCACAGACTGTATGATTTTTAAATGTATGAGGGAAACTCATTTAGCTACCCTTAAAAGCTTAATATGTGATTGTTCACACTTAAATATAATAGAAATCAAGTATCTCCTCTGAAAATAACTCTGTGAGTCATGACTGTCTACAATGGGTGTAACACCCGAGTCCCACTGTCTGTGATGTTTTCAGAGTTTTCAGAGTCCTATCTTCACTTTGTTTACATCGCCAGGACGGCCGGCTGACTCCTCCCCTCACGTGTAAAAGTTGTTTAATTGAGGGACTAGAGAAAAGAAGAATAACATACTGTACTCATTGCTTAACTGTGTTTCTAGATCACGCTCATTTCAGGTAAATTTACATGCAGTGTGAAGATACCAGCATAATAAAGATCGCTAGCATTAGCATGCTAACACAACAATGCAGCGCAAGTTGTTTTGGTTTCATGCTGGAGCTCAAGGGCGACACCTGCTGGATCAAAAAATCACATATAAAGCCTTTAAAGCCTTTAAGTATTCTGAAGTCAAACTGACCTCGCTCCTCCGTAATATCCGTCCTGTAGCTTCTTCAGTGTAGCTAAGACTGCAGGGTCCAGGTTTGTGTGGTCTTCAGCTGAAACACACAGGAAGAGGAATCCAGGCAGCAGGTTACTAAATGACCTTTGACCTTTTGGTGCATTTTAGAAACCTGATTTTAACTGTTTTACATAAGTGTGTTTATTTAATTATCTCAGTACATTTTAGACTTTTGTAGACTGATTTTCTCTTTTTGATTTAATGTCTGTTTTCTAATTCTTTCTGTAATGACTCCATGTCCTTGTAAATGAGGGTTGCCCCCTCGATGATCTTTGGAGTATAAATAAAGGTTGACTGAATGAATGAATGACAGACAGCCCCGTTTAGCATCAAGATTAGCATCTTCAATAACAGTAAATATGACATTCCTCAGTTCTTTAAGGACATCATATTAAAAAAACGTTTTGACTTTGCTTTTTGTGCTTACTCAGCATCGTCTGCGAAATGGGAAACGTGACGGTGGGTCGCCCGGTCATCCTCCAGCGGGACGCCAGGTAGGCGATCTCCGTCCTCAACGACTCCACGATCATTTTGTTGTCCAGCGCCAAGTAGAACTGCTGATGGTCGATGAACTGGAGAGAAAACAACAAACGCAGCGATGATGGAGGGGAAATTAAAACTCCTCCTTTTTACCACAATGACATCACAGGTTTCACCCGGTCGACCTAAAGCTGAAGAGGACCTCAGGTAGGATTTGATCTGTCACTAAGTTTCAAGGTTTGTGAACTGAGATGGAATTATTTAAAGACTTTTCAGAATGTGTCTTACTTTCCACAACTATTACTCACAACCTTTTAATGAAACTCAAGCGTGAATAAACTTAGAAACATAGAAAGATGGGTCAGTGCGGTGTTTAAAATGTGTGGGGGGTGAGTTCCAGAGGAAAGGGGGGGCAGCTATGTGACTTGTTGATCAAAGGAGAAGGGGATCGGGTGGAGCTGTCAATTTGAAGGCTGAAGTCGGGAGCAGATTTGGGGATTGATTTTCGGCCGATTAGAGTTTTTTTGATTCAGTGGTCCGTCAGCTGCAGTGACGCTGTACAGACCTGAGGTGTGAACGAGAACATGGTGTTCCTGATGATGTAGAACTTAGAGGTTCCCAGGACGCCGATCCTCCTGTAGGGTCGGCCGGTCAGACCAAGGCGAGGGTTACGACCTGAAACACATCGGGGGTCAGGTGTGATGACTGAAAGACTGGAGAGCGGTCCCCGGTGATTTAAAAAGAATACAAGTCGTACCGAGTCGGGCGTAGATGTGGCTCAGGACTCTGGAGGGCTGCACGTGGATGGGATGGATGTCAGCGACAGTCTCCACATTGATGCCGTTCTTCATCAGCAGCTCTTTGATCTCCTCCGTCTCTGCAAGAATGGAGACTACGAGGGAAAGAGTTCAAACATTTGAAGAGTCGCTGCAGCATCTCCACATTTATCAGAACTTATCTGACACTTTGACACCATGACGACGTGTCTACGCTGACTCACCCTGTACGACCACGTCAGGCTTGGCGATGGTCGAGAAGCGTCTGTTGAGAGGGTCGATCTCTCCGGGGGCGAGGAATCCCTGAAAGAAAAAAACAAAACAAAACAGGAGACAAAAAGTTTCACTCTGAAATCATTTTGTTTAAAAAATGTGTTTTTGAAATGAGGGCCGCTTGCTCGCCTCTGACAGAAGGTTCCCGAGGATGTAGAGCGACTGTCCCCACTTCAGAGGACATTTACCCATCGAGACCCTCTCCACGGAGTGAGGGTTCACGTACTCCTCCTCCACCTGGTGTGTAAACAAAAACAAAACCATTTGGGTTGATTTTTCATGGAGGAGTCCTGACGCTAGATGAGTTGAGAACGACTGCCTTAAACTACTGGAAGTTTCTTATTTATTGTATTTTCTATTATACAGGAAGTAATGTTCTCTCAGTCTTAAGACATTATAGAATTTCAAAATAAAAGCGTAACAAAATAAAAATAAAAAAAGCAAAATTTTTCAAACATGCGATTAAAGCGGCGATTAATCGTGATTAACTCTTAAAATTCACAGATTAAATGAGCGCTGATAGCCTAGTGGTTATGCTGTACAACCTGTGTACCCCCCCCCCCCACTCTCTCTCCTCCCAACACTTCCTGTCTCTCTTCAGCTGTCCAATCAAATAAAGGCAAAAAGGCCCCTCCCCCATTCATCGATTAATCACGATAAATGTCGATCGTTTGACATCTTTATAAAACATGAAACACTCAAATGGAAAAAAAACTGTACAACCATGAATATAATCTTTTTTTTCACCTTCTCTGGAGGGACGCTGTAGAGCTCCGGGACCAGTCGGATCCCGTCTTTCTGTTTGATCAGGATCCCCTCCAGAGCCTCCTGGTACTCTTGCACCTAACGGAGATCAAACCCTGTCGTTAGTATCCTCAACAAACAAACACAGAACACAGGCAGGTGGATCAGTCTGTTCAACAACCTGCTCCGGGCTGTTGATGAAGATGCCGTCCAGGATGAGGTAGGTCCAGAACAGCGGCCACTCGCACTCGATGTTTTCAAACAGCTTCAGCTCCGCGGACTCGTAGTACAGACGGCTCGGATCCTGGAGGAACAGAGAGGAAGAGAGGACTGTACCTGAGCTTTCATTTCTGATGACATCATCTCTAATCACACATTATGACAAATCTGAGATGTGACTGTATCTATAAATCTGTAACTGATGCACTGACACATCCTGCTGAACAGATCAAATGGATAACAGGACTTCATCACAATAAGGAACGACTGACGGTTTTTATCTGTATGTGACTACTCAGAGCGACTTACCCTAACCCTAAAAAAAACAGAAAAGAGAGACGACTAATCAAGACCAAAGACAAGGTTTAGATGGAGGTTAAATGTGGGTTTGTGTGTATTTATGTCAAATTGCAAAAGACATCAGTTCAACACAGAAGGAGGACGGAGAAAAA